GGGCTATCTGAGACAAAACCACATGTAGGATTGACGGACAAAGGGTGGATGCCCCTCAGATGGGAGACCAGTCTGGTGCCTTCCCGGCCACATCCCCGAAGGGATGTTTCAGGGCATCTTGGCTAAGGTGTACTTGTATAACCCCCAGGCCTGGTCACCTTCAGTTTTCTGAGATGCATACCGTTATGCCTTATGACGTCCCCATGGAACCACGGGCTGAGGCCCACACAAGTCCCGTAGCCATCAAGCCGTGGGACTACATAAACTCACTCACTCGCTTGGGATTAGGGAGAGAAACTGAAAGTATAGTTATTTAATTAATGGAAGCTTATGTGCCGAAAGGCTGATTTGAGATAAACATTTTAGTGCCGTAAGCTGGAGGATGTGGTCCTGCTGTTAGGCAGGGCTCCGGTCCGCAAACGGGGCTTCTGAATACCTAAAACTTGGCCGCTACTGCAGAGATGTTCAGAAGGCGTCCCAGACTGCACTTCTGAACACCGGAGAATACGAGAGGGTTCAGGAAGGTGGGGACATATCCCTCATAATCCTGACCCTGAGAAACCCCTCAGGGGGAGAGAACAAGAGTGTAGGGACATCTCCTCTATGCTCAGGTCCTCAGGACAAGGCCGGGGCCCCAGGCCCATGGTGAGAAATGAGGAGTCGTCCCTGACGTGGCCGCAATTACGAGCAGGGAGTCCACAAGGCAGGCAGTGGGAGAGGCTATGGGCAACAGAAGTCTTACCTTGTGGTGGAGCGGTTCCCTGGTCTGGCTTCAGATGAAGGAGTCAGTTTCCCCCAGGAGGGGTCTTACAACTCCTCCTGGGTTTTGGCACCACTTGTAAGGGTTATTCTCTGTAAGGTTTATTGCTGAGTTTAAAATGAGGAAACTGAGGCCTGCATGAGAACAATTAGATGCTAATTTACTCGGCTGCCGGGTGAGGTTCTATGGTCCAGAGGAAGGGGGCCAGAGAAGTCGAGCCTGACTCCTCTCAGGTGTGGGGTTATAGAGGGAGGGAAGGCGCTCTGATTGGCTGTGGAGAAACAGGACGTGGACGTGGCAAGCTGCTATAGGTAGGTACACGGGATTTCCAGTGAGCGGGCTGGATGGGGCAATGCACTATTGGGCAGGTTTTGGTGGGGCTTTCCAACAGCTGGCTAGGTGCCGAGTGCAGAGTATAGTGTTGAATGCAGATCCTGGTGCTGAGTGCAAAGAGAATTTCCAATGGTGAGCTAAGCGCCGAGTGCAGAGTTTAGTGTTAATTACCACTTGGTGACGTAATTTTCAGACGTGGCGAAGGATGGGCGTGTCCAAGCAAGGCAACTGGCCTTACATCCATGTTCCTGAGAAAAAGCAAACAATTATATGCTACAAATGCATTCCTCTACCTCAGAACGTCTATGTGCTTTCATTTATCAATTACCATTACCGAGGGATGACTTGTGGCGTGTGTGTTTTTCTACCTTTACAATTTTAGCCCCTCTACCTGTGTCCATGATCGCCCCACCTACATCTCTTTTGGCCCATTGTTCCTCTCCATTTGTTTCCTCTCTGTTTTCCTATTTGTTCCTTCAGCTTGGCTGGCAATGTATTAATATCTCTTTCATTCTCAAAAATAGTAACAGCAGCAGCAAAAAACAACAAAATACACCATCAAAATAAGTTGTTAGTAAAAACGATGACAAAAAAACTCCAGAAATTTGGGGAAAGTGCCTTTAAAAAAAGAAAAAAAATTCAGAGGATTCAGTTAGGGGTCGGGGAAGGGTAAACAGGGGAAGAGAGAAAATGTGAAAGCTTCTTCTAGGGTCCTACTAATTTGAGAATGTATTTTTTATGAGAAAATACACTTCAAAAACAGTATTTTTAAATTAATGATGTCTCAGGTACTATGTAAACCCCAGGGCTAAATCTAGAAAAAGAGAAAAAAGGAATAATAATGACATCTTCTTAAATTTTCAGAAGGTTTTAATTGGCTTTAATAAATTGCAGTATTCCTGTTATCCCAGTTGTTTGCAAAACAAAATGTTCCAGTTAATTAAACACACTGGTTAATAAAGACATGCCCTATCTGTCATACACAGATTATAAATTTCAAAGACCATACCATTAAAGATCATCTGGAACTTAAGTTACTTTTTCTGAGGTTATTAGGAGCACCTGGGGATATTCCAGTGCACCAAAGAGAAGAAAAGGAGAATAATCTGAATAGAAGCTCACCATGCTTTTGTGGATATTACGGTACTTAATAGCCATCTCATAGGATTTATTTTGAGATTATCACTGACAGATAAAGAAGCTAAGAAAGGAATTTAAAAATAATGTACTCAGTGCTATATAATGGCAGGGCTAGGATTTAAACTCATGTTTCCAAATTCCAGTGGCTTCTGCTATCAATTTGCATGACTTGATAAAGGTTTACAGAAATGGACAGAACCCTGGTAAACCAATGTTAGAAGTGGTTAGAAAACAAAAGAGCTCTGGATACCTAGTCTTTCTGTGCTTTGATAGTTGGCAATTCTTCAATTTTACAATCTAGTAACCAAAGAAGCCTGGAAACAATACTATGAAAACAAGTAGGTGACTATTGTTGTCATCAAAAGCACACCCATAGTATAATGGTGATGCATATTCATTCTTCAAAGAAGGTGACAATAAAGGCAGGTATTGCCTCAGAATTTTTGTTGAATTATTCCTCCTTTATAAGGCAGTCCCTGGGAATGATGAGATCTGAAGTGAGTAAGGTACACCTTTCTCTTAAGCATCACTTTTTAAATTCCATGTGGGACTGCCATTCCTGCCAGGAAACAGCTTTTTTTCCAAACTAGTCTGAAACTGGCAGTGCTTGAATGGAAAGCTAAGGACTGAAAGCCTAGCCATATGAGTATTCAGAATAAAGTTTAGGCCCTGGCATCACACCGATCGGGTTGGGTTCAACATTGGGCAACCCTTAACACAAGTCTCAGCTTTTTCACCTGTAAAGTGGGAATGATAATGCCTACTTAATAGGTCAGGTTTGTGTTCCTTTCTTGGCCTCTCAACACAAGATTCTCTCATTCTATTCTCTTATTTTTCCCAGTTTTCTTTCTACTCTCTGCAAAAGCCACATGGTCATGGCGGAAATTTACAGAGCTGTTACCAACAGAAGGCGTTGTCTGTAAACAGCCAAAGGAGCTGAGTAACTCACACTTCCAGACTCATCTCAGTCACTGCATCATGGACATTTTTTCTCATCATATGCCCCCAACTCCTCACCAAGCGCTTGTCTGGCCTTGTATCTGTCCGTGTGGCTCTTACCACACTGCATTGAGTGTGTTTTCTGGCCTCCAACTAGACTGTGTGCTCAAGTCTTTCGTATTCAAACCCTTAGGATCCAAGTAGCTAACTAGCACAACTAGTTACAGAAACCAGGTTTAGCTGGTTTGGGTAGAGTCTCCATAAGATTTTGTCGAATGAATAAGGCTGCCAGTTTTCATCTTCTGGATGCCTGGGCTGAGAATTCAGTACTGTTTATGAGACTTACAAGTCATGTAGTGGTTGCAGCGTTCATAGTTGCTTGGTTTCTATTCCCCATTGGAGAATTTGCTTTCAAGGCTTTCTTCTCCCTTCCCCCAGTGATTATATCAGAAAGCCTTAACTGGGTAAAGGTTTTTTAACACAGTGGGGCAGTCACACCTGGCTCATTAAGCAGTGGGAACACATTTAGCAGGAGGGCCAGCAGGTTCTGGAGACACCAGGTGAGCAGCCGCGTCCACTGCCATTGGCAGTCTCTGGGCTACTCTACTTTACTAACCCTCAGCATGGGTCCCTAGAGACACAAGAGAATCTTGTAGACAGTTACCATCTGGGATCTCAGCTCGGGGACTCAGGGTGACCTCTGCTCCTGTTTAACTTCCTGAAAGGTACATGAATTCATTATGTTAACTCGTTTGTTCCATGAAGGGAGCTAGCCTTCACAATTATCGCTTTTAGAGACTTTTGGCTATTTTTAGTGTGCTGTAAAATTGCTGCTTAGTAAAAGTGCAAAGCAGAATTTATTGTGCTCCCAGAAACACATTAGTCATTTGTGTTGAGGAGGGAAATGACTGTGCAGTCAGGACTTGCTCTATTCTTGGGACGTATTTTAATAATCATCTCTGCTGCATTTTTTTTAAGAGACAGGGTCTCCCTCTGTCACCTAGGCTGGAGTGCAGTGGTATAATCATTGTTAACTGCAGCCTCAAACTCCTAGGCTCAACGAATTCTCCCACCTCCGTCTCTGGAGTTGTTGGGACTAAAGGTGCATGCCACCTCCCCCAACTGATTTTTTGTGTGTGTATGTGTAGAGACAAGGTCTTGCTTTGCTGCCCAAGTGGGTCACACACTCCTGACTTCAAGTGATTCTCCCACCTTGGCCTCCCAAAGTGCTGAGAGGACAGGCATGAGCCACTGCACCAGGCCATTTGCTGCAATTTTTTTTTAAAAAAAGGAAAATATTTCTCACTTTTCATGTTGGTGCATATAGAACTGCTTTGGCTGGGTTCTGGTCATTTACAGCTTCTGTTTGGGGTTTTATATTGTAATGACAGAGGGGAAGAGCAAGAGAGCTGGTAGGACCCTGGGATGCCCCTAAGCCTTCTTGTGGGAGGTGTTATGCCTCACATCTTCTTATGTTTGATAGGAGAAAGCAGGGCACATGGTCAAGACCAGTATTTGGCTCCTTCCCTTGTAAGAGCCTGGTAATGCTCTTACAAGGGAAGGACACACTAAAAAAACAGCATAGCATCTGCCAAGTCCATGAGCATCCTCATGGACTGGATGGGGACTCAGATGTTTACTGTATTGTGTAGGGCAGAGAGTCCAAAAAAAAAATTGAGCTGAAGTTATCAGTCTCTTTAAGTGATGGCAGGAAAGAAAAACACTATCTGCCTCTTTGATTTCATCTGTCTTTTTTAAGGAGTTGATATATTTGATTGCTGTTTCATAACCTGCTTTCCACACATTTATATTCCTTTCCTGTTTCCAGCAGATGATGGGACACAGACTCATTCTGAGAACAACAGCCAAGAAAACAGAATCAAGGCTCACTGCCTGTCCTGCACGTCCATGGTTCTGAAGGCCATCTGGGGACTCCTGATCATTTTGTCAGTATCATCATCTTGGGTTGGAACCACACAGATTGTAAAAATTACTTATAAGAACTTCTATTGTCCATTTTTCATGACTTGGTTTTCAACAAACTGGAACATTATGTTTTTCCCAGTCTATTATTCTGGTCATCTAGCCACTGCTCAAGAAAAGCAATCTCCAATGAAAAAATTCAGGTAGGTTTCATCTTAGCTCGTCAAAAAGAGATTATTGAAATATGTTTTATGCAAATGGCCCATTTTTATCTCTTGGGAATATGAGTTGAGTATTTGGGGGTATGTAAAGAAGCAAGATCTAAGGTTGGTGATGAGCACTAGGAGCAGAATCAGTCCTCCCTTAAAATAAATGTGTCCACAACATGCCAGGCACTATACTGGTGCTTTTGCATATCTTCTTATAACTGGTGGCAACATTTACTTTTTAAGGTGGTTTATCCCCATTTTAACACAAGAGGAAACAAATTCAGAAAGGTTGAATGACTCACCCAAGGTTATTCATAAATAATAGAACTAAGATTTAAATCCAGATCTATTTAGTAAAGTGTTTTATAACAACATCCTAGTGTGTCAAGGCCAGAAAAAATGGTATTAATAAGATTGTTAGACAAACATTTGCTCAATATTCCTGATACTGAGATGCCTGGCAGATGAAATGGCCTCATTTCATGTAAGGGAGAGTTTGGCACCAAGAAATTCTAAAAGATGCCACTCTTTGCTGGCTAGATGCACATAGGGGCTTTGTCTGTTTCCCTGTTAACTATAAACAGTGGTGGTTGAGCTTACCTGAAAGTCGTATGGTTCTAGTGGTTGTTCCATGCTAAACTTAGTTTCTGTAATCCCCTCTTGGATAGCTCAGGAAGCCGACATGGCTGATGTCACACAGTCCTGCACAGCACTCAACGGAGGCAAAAACAGCATTTCAGTCCAAGTATCTTTGCTAGTTGACAGCTCCTCAAAGAGGAAAAGCCCGATGCTGCGGAGTGACTTCTAGGACAACTGCTGTGATCACCCAGAAAAAAAAAAAAATAGGGACATCAATAGATGGCAGATGGAAGAAAAAAGTTCTGCATGTGGACTTATTACTCCTCAGAAGAGTAACTTTATCTTACAGCGGCCAAAATAATCTTTCTTTCTTGCCCCTATACCAAAGGAAAAGAAATGATTATTATAATTGGTACATTATAAGACTCTTACAAACTTAACCTTGAAGGGTCTCTGTCTTCAAATTCCATTTTCTTTGTGTGTGTTGTTCTGAGACAGAGTCTTGCTGTGTCACCCAGGCTGGAGTGCAGTGGCGCCATCCCAGCTCATTGTAACCCTCACCTCTTGCCTCAGTCTCTTGAGTAGCTTGTGTTACAGGTGCACAACACCCCACCCAGCTAATTTTTTGTATTTTTAGTAGAGATGGGTTTCACCGTGTTGGCCAGACTGGTCTCGAACTCCTGGCCTCAAGGGATCTGACCACTTTGGCCTCCCACAGTGCTGGGATTACAGGCTTGAGCCACCGTGCCTGGCCTCCACTTCCATTTTCTATCACCACTTTGGAAGTGCTTGGGAATATTCTCACCGTGAGTTGATTTTCCTATATGTGTCCATGAAAACTCAGTTATAATTAAAGAATTAAAAAACAATTCAAAAGAATAAATGCTTTTTGTTTGGGAGAGAGCCTGTAACTGTGATTACTAAAGATATTTTGGATTTGATTCCCATCAAAATAGACATGATCTTGCATTGTAGAAGTTCTTAAACAATGTTTAATAAGTCATTATAGGGGAATGTGATTATCAGACTAAAACTGTCCCTGTTTGAATATACGTATGTGTACCTATACAAAGTGTGTGTTCTACTTAAACATACATATTGATTTAAAACAACAAAAGTTTCATATAAAAAGAAGTACCTCAAGAATACCTCAGAGCAAGCTAAGTCAGTTTAAGGTACCTGATTTAAAACAAGAGACTGCTGCTAGCAGAAATGTTGCTTTGGGAATGAACTTCATCTTTTCCACATCTCTCATGTCAGACTAACTCTGAACTTTGTAAAATTGCTGATTTAGCACTCTACCTATAGTCCACATAGAGTGAAGTTGACCATTTCTGAAACAGAATCAAAGAGCTTTTACTGTCAAGCAGAAAACACCATCTTTGAAGGGAATATTCTCCAATGGCCTCCTCCATGTGAGAGGTAAAATTGTCAGACAATTCTTAGATCCTTAATTTTTTTTCCCTGTAGACTCATTAATACCATCTGCCAAGAAGTCATTCCCAAAGCTCTCATGACTGAACAAGGGAAAATAGAGTTAATATGTAAGACTGGAAATAGGATTTGTCCCATAGCACCAGAAACTCTATTTTCTCTAGAATGGTATGAAAGCATTTCCAGTTTTTTTCTTATCAGTGACATCAAAATAAGGTTAAATAAATCAAATCGAGATGGTGAGGACTATCTATTTAGAAGCAGTTTTTGATAATCATTTTACTTATATACTAGAAAATTCAATCGCCTCAGGTGAATTTGAAATTTAGGAAGAAAAAAATTATATACCATATTACTAACAAGGATGTTTTCTTAGGGAAAAAACTTTAGAAAACTTAAAACTAAAGCCAAATATATATTTGCCTATGTCAGGCACCTATGAAATGTGCTTCAGATGCTATTTAACATAAATAAAGGGTTCAATAACTAGTAGCTGATGTTTAAATAATAATTATTAGTGTCCTCCAACTTCCACACTTTCTTTCAAGCTATACCACCTGTCAATGTCACTTGCCCAGAAAGTCTGATCTTACCATCCCAAAGACAAACCCACCATTATTTGCTTCTCCATAAAAATCCATTTTTTTTTTTAGTTTTCCTGTTTTAGTGCTTAATGCTTAAATAGTATGGGATTTTACACAAGTGACCTGGCATTTGGATGGAGAATGTTTATAATTTCTACAGCAACAATGACAAAGGAGACAAGGCTGGCAGTGAGAGGAGAAGGGGAAGAAAAGGGGAACAATGTGGGAACGAATACCTGGGAGACAGGATGAGCCAGGTGAGAACAGTCTCTGCCTGGTAGCAGCGTATTCCCAGATGCTTTGCCCGTGAGGCGCTGCCTGTCTGGAGTACACATCTGTTGGTCTTCCTGTGGGATTGGAATATTCCCTTCCTGCAACCAAAATCTTTGTTGAGGAGCACTCTTCCCAGCATGATGGTGGGCTCTCAGTTGAAGAATCATCACTGGCTAGGACCTGTGATAAGAAAAAGAAATCCTTTAATCAGAAATGGGTTTAATTGCGGTTCGTAATAAATGTGTTCATATTTTAAAAGGCATTCAGTGGCTGTAAATGGTAGGATAAACCCACAACTCTTAGCTCCAGCTCCAAATGGCAGCTTTCTCACAGAGCAGATCGCCTTACAAGTACAGAATATGAACTTTGTGCCCAGGATGCTCCATGAAACCTCTTCTGGTTCTATGTATGGTGCTAATTCAGAATATCCCATTGGCTGTGGGGCTCCAGAGAAAATATTCACTCTTTCCTGTGTACGTGAGCATGTATAATTTGTTTACTTTACAGAAGGCTTTAAATTATTTAATCCCTTCATTGAAGTTCTGTCTCTTTCAAGTTAACATTTACCTTTGGGAAATACTACTTTCATTTTACGAAAAACGTTCCTTTTTAGTAGTGTCTGACATGAAAGTAAACAAATTTCAGTGCAAGTTTCTGTGTGAGCAACACGTCTTTAACCTTCCTGGAATCGCTGACCTGCAACTCGCAACATTCTCATCCAGTTGAAAGCCACATTTACTATGAAACTTAATGTTTAAGGCTATACTTCCTGCATCTAAATTCTTTATCACTCCTGCTCTCCATGTGTTCCTTTTTTGGGGTTACATTATTCATGGGAGGCAAACATTGGCTAGAATTTACTTTGATTTGCAATACTTTGAGAGACACTAATTTCAGTTAAAACTGGAACAGAAACTAGTGCAAGTACTAGAGTCCTGTATATAGATTTCATTATAAACATATGCAAATATTAATAATGTTTTGCTTTGAACAAGATTACTTATACTGCTCATGAAAATACCATGCCTAGAACATGACAGTTGCTCCATAAATGCTTGAATGTTCATTAACAATTGAGTAGAAAAAAATTAAGTGAAACACTCCCTGTGGTAACTCTGTTTTCAGTCCATAGTCATATGGGCACTGTCATTGTATCACTTCCATTATTGCCTGTATGCATTGCTAGCTTGAACATTTTTATTGAAAGCACCCCTCAGAGCCAGGCGCAGTGACTCATGCTTGTAATCCCAGCACTTTGGGAGGCCAAGGCTAACAGATCACCTGAGCTTATGAGTTCAAGACCAGCCTGGGCAACAGAGTGAAATCCTGTCTCTACAAAAAAAAAATTGTTAAAACTAGCTGGGCACAGTAGTGCATACCTGTAGTCCCAGCTGCTGAAGAGGCTGAGGCGTGAAGATGGCTTGAATCTGGAAGGTGGAGGCTGCAGTGAGCCAAGATCATGCCACTGCATTCCAGCCTGAACCAGACCTAAAAAAAATCATACAGCCAATTTAAATGAAAATCAAACAAATCATCGAAGATTTAACTGAAGTGACCATTTTTTCACACCACATTCAGACAATTCCTCCAAAATGGCCAAATGTTTGTACATAAGTATAACTGAGTTTTCTATTTAGTTTTTGTCATGTGGGGGTGATCACAGAGACTTTAATTTTTCTGCCTTAAAAATGCTAGCAGGAAAAATCCATTAGTAAATTGGGCAAATATATTAGAAAGAGGCATAGTGGTTTTAGAAATAAAATCCCAAACCATGTGCTGCACAGACATACAAGGGTCACTTTCCCTACTGATGCTGGGAATTGTCTGTAGCCTGTTCACACAGTAGTAGAAGCCTTGACCCTCTCTCTTTTGCCCACTGAGGAAGGATCTTCTCCCTCTTCCAATAGTGATTTCAGCTACTACCCGTTTCTGTATTTCTTCAGGCTCTTCTGAGAATGCTCAGAAATGGCAGAATGGCTTTCCAGGCAGCCTCCAGAGAATATCTCAGAGAAGAGGGTCTAGCTCTGTGCCTGGGCAGATGTGGGCTGTTTTTCAAGGAAACATACACTCCCCTGAAGCCTGCAGATTTCAGAACTGGGTTCAGTACACTTTACAGATGAAGGACGGGTATGAGTGTTTGTGCTCTTACCTGAAAATGGCTGTGATGAGTCAGATAAGACAAGATGTGTCACCATCAGTACCTGGGTATTAACTTCTCTTTTCTTTCCTAGGGAATGCAGTCGGATTTTCGGTGAAGATGGTCTGACGCTGAAGCTCTTTCTTAAAAGAACTGCTCCCTTTTCTATTCTATGGACTTTGACTAATTACCTTTATTTACTGGCTTTAAAGAAGCTGACGGCCACGGATGTCTCTGCTCTGTTCTGTTGTAACAAAGCCTTTGTCTTCTTGCTGTCATGGATTGTGCTGAAAGACAGGTTCATGGGAGTGAGGGTAATGGCACACTTGATTCAGTGAGCGATGCCTGCCTTTATTGTAAATCCTTGGAGTCAGGAGAGCCTATCTGCTTTGTTTCATGGAGTTTCTGTAAAACTTTTCTCATTTGTTCTCAGTACAAACTGAAATCTGAAGATGCGTTAGGAAGCCCAGGCAGTTCCAACATCAGTTGTTTTCACTGGTCAGTGAGCTGATTCCAACAGGAGGCACTAAAGCAGACAGAGAAAACAAGTTCCTATTTCATAACTTTTAGAATTAATGGTGTGATCAACTCCTTCTCTCCTCAGGAATAAAGGGACTGAGAAAATTAGCCACTATAAAGATCATGATTTGCATTTTTCAGTCATCATATGTTGACAGTCCCCTATTGCTCACACCAGATGGATTTAATTAATATTGGTGTGAGTAGATAAGATTACCAAACAGCAATTAAAGTCACTAGTAATGGCACAATGCTGTTAAAAGTGACTATACATCTAGTGTGGGTGACTAATGCAGATATGGAAGTGCAAGCAACAACTTATTTTGGGTACAAATCTTTAATTGAACTGCATTAAACTTGCACCAACAACTTCAGTTCTGAGTTTATTCCTTTCAGGAGTAATATGGAGATATATATCCATATATGCTGGCTCCATGTTAAAACGAGCTTGCTTGGAAGCCCTGAAGATTTAAGGAGTCAGATCTCATTCATATAATATGGCATGCCACTATGATGAAAATATAGAGACAACATTTCTTTAGAAGGAAGTACAAATGAATTGCGTTTTCTCAGAATATCAATATTATACAAAATAGCTTCTCAGAAAGAGATATCCAAGACAGAATTTGAAACATATTTTCTTATCAAAACATTGCTTTTACTGGCATCAATTCCAAGGTCATTTCCCCCTCCTAAATGCTGAAACTAATGTCTATATTAGAGACAGGGTTTATGATAATCATTAACCCTGAAAGCTGCTTTTTTGAAATTATACTTTAAGTTTTGAGGTACATGTGCAGAACGTGCAGGTTTGATACATACATGTACATGTGCCATGGTGGTTTACAGCACTCATCAACCCATCGTCTACATTAGGTATGTTTGTCTGGTTGTCTCTTCCTGTTAGTTCACTGAGAATGATGGTTTCCAGCTTCATCCATGGCCCTGCAAACGACATGAACTCATCCTTTTTTATGGCTACGTAGTATTCCATGGTGTATATGTGCCACATTTTCTTTATCCAGTCTATCATTGATAGGCATTTGGATTGGTTCCAAGTCTTTACTATTGTGAACAGTGCTGCAATAAATATAAGTGTGCAAGTGACTTTATAGTAGAATGATTTATAATCCTTTAGGTATATACCCAGTAATGGGATTGTTGGGTCAAATGGTACTTCTAGTTCTATATCCTTGAGGAATTGCTACACTGTCTCCCACAATGGTTGAACTAATTTACAACCTCACCAACAGTGTGAAAGCATTCCTATTTCTCCACATCCTCTCCAGCATCTGTTGTCTCCTGACTTTTTAATGATCACCATTCTAACTGGCATGAGATGGTATCTCACTGTGGTTTTGATTTGCATTTCTCTAATAACCAGTGATGATGAGCATTTTTTCATGTTTGTAGGCTGCATAAATGTTTTGAGAAATGTCTGTTCATATCCTTTGCCCAATTTTTGATGGGGTTTTTTTCTTGTAAATTTAAGTTCCTTGTATATTCTGGATATTAGCCCTTTGTCAGATGAATAGATTGCAAAATTTTTCTCCAATTTTGTAGGTTGCCTGTTCACTCTGATGCTAGTGTCTTTTGCTGTGCAGAAGCTCTTTAGTTTAATTAGATCCCATTTGTCAATTCTGGCTTTTGTTGCCATTGCTTTTAGTTTTTTAGTCATGAAGTCTTTGTCCATGCCTCTGTCCTGAATGGTATTACCTAGGTTTTCTTCTAGGTTTTTATGGTTTTAGGTCTTATGTTTAAGTCTTTAATCTATCTTGAGTTAATTTTTGTATAAGGTATAAGGAAGGGGTCCAGTTTCAGCTTTCTGCATGTGGCTAGCCAGTTTTCCCAACATCATTTATTAAATAGGGAATCCTTTTCCATATTGCTTGTTTTTGTCAGGCTTGTCAAAGATCAGCTGGTTGTAGATGTTGGGTGTTATTTATGATGCTTCTGTTCTGTTCCATTGGTTAATTGTTATTGGTCTATTCAGGGGTTTGACTTACATCTGTTTTGGTACCAGTACTATGCCATTTTGATTACTGTAGCCTTGTAGTATAGTTTGAAGTTAGGTAACATGATGCCTCCAGCTTTGTTCTTTTGCTTAGGATTATCTTGGTTATGCAGGCTTTTGTTTGATTTCATATGGTCTTTCCAGTTCTGTGAGGAAAGTCAATGGCAGCTTGATGGGGATAGCATTGAATCTATGAATTACTTTGGGCAGCCTGGTGATTTTCACAATATTGATTCTACCTCTGTCCATAAGCATGGAAGGCTTTTCTATTTGTTTGTGTCCTTTCTTATTTCCTTGAGCAAGTGTCTTGTAGGTCTCCTTGAAGAGGTCCTTCACATCCCTTTTAAGTTGTATTCCTAGGTATTTTATTCTCTTTGTAGCAATTGTGAATGGGAGTTCACTCATGATTTGGCTTGCTGTTTGTTCATTACTGGTGTATAGGAATGCTTGTGATTTTTGCACACTGATTTTATATCCAGAGACTTTGCTGAAGTTGCTTATCACCTTAAGAAGATTTAAAAAAAAAAAAGATTTTGGGCTGAGATGATGGAATTTTCTAAATATACAATCATGTCATCTGCAAACAGATACAATTTGACTTCCTCTTTTCCTAATTGAATACCTTTATTCCTCTTGCCTGATATCCCTGGCCACAACTTCCAATACTATGTTGAATAGGAGTGGTGAGAGAGAGCATCCTTGTCTTGTACTGGTTTTCAAAGGGAATGCTTCCAGTTTTTGCCCATTCACTATGGTATTGGCTGTGGATTTGTCGTAAATAGTTCTTATTTTGAGATACGTTCCATCTATGCCAAGTTTATTGAGAGTTTGTAAGCATGAAGGGCTGTGGAATTTTGTCAAAGGCCTTTTGGTGTCTATTGAGATAATCATGTGGTTGTCATTGGTTCTGTTTATTGATTTATGTTGAACCAGCCTTGCATCAGCTTAGGGATGAAGCTGACTTGATCATGGTGGAAAAGTTTTTTGATGTGCTGCTAGATTTGGTTTGCCAGTATTTTATTGAGAATTTCACATCAATGTTCATCAGGGATATTGGTCTAAAATTTTTTCTGTTGTGTCTTTGCCAGGATTTGGTATCAAGAGGATGCTAGCCTCTTTTCTCTATTGTTTGGAATCATTACAGAATGATTGGTATCATCTCCTTTTTGTACCTCTGGTAGAATTTGGCTGTGAATCCATCTGGTCCTGGACTTCGGTTGGTTGGTAGGCTATTAATTACTGTCTCAATTTCAGGCCTTGTTATTGGTCTATTCAGGGATTGAACTTCTTCCTGGTTTAGTCTTGGGAGAGTGTAAGTGTCCAGGAATTTATCCATTTCTTCTAGATTTACTAGTTTATGTAAAGGTGTTTATACTATTCTCTGATGGTAGTTTGTATTTCTGTGGGATTGGTGATGATAGCCCCTTTGTAATTTCTTTTCGCCTATTTGATTCTTCTCTATTAGTCTGGCTAGCAGTCTATTTTGTTGAACTTTTCAAAAATTCAGCTCCTGTATTCATTGATTTAAGAATTTTTCATGTCTCTATCTCCTTCAGTTCTGCTCAGATCTTAGTTATTTCTTGTCCTCTGCTAGCTTTTAAATTGTTTGCTCTTGCTTCTCTAGTTCTTTTAATTGTGATGTTAGGATGTTGATTTTAGATCTTTCCTGATTTCTCTTGTGGGCATTTAGTGCTATAAATTTCCCTCTATACACTGCTTTAAATGTGTTCCAGAGATTCTGGTATGTTGTATCTTTGTTCTCAGTGGTTTTACAGAACATCTTTATTTCTGCCTTTATTTCATTCAGGAGCAGGTTGTTCAGTTTCCATGTAGTTAAGTGAGTTCTAATCTAATCCTGAGTTCTAATTTGATTGCACACTGTGGTCTGAGAGACTGTTTGTTATGATTTTTGTTCTTTTGCATTTGTTGAGGAGTGTTTTACTTCCAATTATGTGGTCAATTTTAGAATAAGTATGATGTGGTGCTAAGAAGAATGTATATTCTGTTGATTTGGGGTGAAAAGCTCTGTTGATTTCTATTAGGTTCAGTTGGTCCAGAGCTGAGTTCAAGTACTAGAAATCCTTGTTAATTTTGTCTTGTTGATCTAATGTTGACAGTGGTGTGTAAAAGTCTCCCACTATTATGAGTCTAAGTCTCTTTGTAGGTCTCTAGGAACTTGCTTCATGAATCTGGGTGCTCCTGTATTGGGTGCATATATATTTAGAATAGTTAGCTCTTCTTGTTTCATTGATTACTTTATATAATACCCTTCTTTGTCTCTTTTGATCTTTGTTGGTTTAAAGTTTTTTTGTTTGTAATTTGCTTGGTAAATCTTCCTCCATCCCTTTATTTTGAACCTGTGTGTGTGTCTTTGGCATGTGAGACCAGTTTCCTGAATGCAGCACACTGATGGTTCTTGACTCTTTATCCAATTTTCCAGTCTGTGTCTTCTAATTGGGTCATTTAGCCCATTTACACATAAGGTTAATATTGTTATGTGTGAATTTGATTGTGCCATTATGATGCTAGCTGATTATTTTGCTCATTAGTTGATGCAGTTTCTCCATAGTGTTGATGGTCTTTACAATTTAATATGTTTTTGCAGTGGCTGGTAGTGTGTTCCTTTCCATGCTTAGTGCTTCCTTCCAGAGGACTTGTGAGGCAGGCCTGATGGTGATGAAATCTCTCAGTATTTGCTTGTCTGTAAAGGTTTTTATTTTTCCTTCACTTATGAAAACTTAGATATCAAATTCTGGGTTGAAAATTCTTTTAAGAATGTTGAATATTGGCAGGAACTCTATAAGCCAGAAGAGAGTGGGGCCGGAGAATGCTGCTGTTAGTCTGATGAGTTTCCCTTTTTGGGTAACTTGATGTTTCTCTCTGGCTGCCCTTAAGATTTTTTCATTCATTTCAACCTTGGTGAATCTGATGATTATGTGTCTTGGGGTTGCTCCATCAAGTCATTTATGTTATTCTCTAAACTGGTTATTCTAATTAGCTCTTCATCTAACCTTTTTTCAAGATTCCTAGCTTTCTTATATTGGGTTAAAAATGCTCCTTTAGCTTGGAAGAGTTTGTTATTACCCGCCTTCTGAAGCCTGCTTCTATCAATTCATAAAACTTATTATCTGTCCAGCTTTGTTCCCTTGCTGGTGAGGAGTTGTAATCCTTTGGAGAAGAGGTGTTCTTGTTCTTGTTTTTGGAATTTTGAGTCTTTTTGTGCTGGTTTCTCCACATCTTCATGGATTTATCTACCTTTGGTCTTTGAAGTTGGTGACCTTCGCATATAGTCTCTGAGTGGACTTTCTTTTTGTTGATGTTGATACTATTCCTGTTAGTTTTCCTTCTAACAATCAGGCCCCTCTGCTGCAGGTCTGCTGGAGTTTGCTGGAGGTCCATTCCAGACCCTGTTTGCCTGGGTATCCCTGGCAGAGGCTGCAGAACAGCAAAGATTGCTGCCTATTCCTTCCTCTGAAAGCTTATCACAAAGGGATACCTGCCAGACGCCAGCCAGAGCTCTCCTGTATAAGGTGTCTGTTGGCCCCTACTGGGAGGTGTCTCCCAGTCAGGATACATGGGGGTCAGGGACTCACTTGAGGAGGCAGTCTGTTTTTTATCAGAGCTCGAATGCTTGCTGGGAGACCTGCTACTCTTTTCAGAGCTGTCAGGCAGGGATGTTTACGTCTACTGAAGCTGCACCCACAACTGCCTCTTTCCCCAGGTGCTCTGTCCCAGGGAGTTGGGGGTTTTGTCTGTAAGTCCCTAACTGGGGCTGCTGCCTTTTATTTCAAAGATGCCCTGCCCAGAGAGGCACAATCTGCCCGCAGATTGTGAAAAGTGGCCACACTTCTCACTTTCTTTTCACTATATCTTGCTGAGCTGTGGTGGGCTCCACACAGATTGAACTTCCCACAGCTTTGTTTACATTGTGAGGGTAAAATTGCCTAACTCAAGCCTCAGCAATGGCAGATGCCCCTCCTCCCACCAAGCTGAAGCATCCCAGGTTGACCTCAGACTACTGTGCTAGTAGTGAGAATTTCAAGCCAGTGTACCTTAGCTTGCTGGGCTCCATAGGGGTGGGACCCACTGAGCCAGGCACTGAAGGGAATCTCCTGGTTTGCCGGTTGTGAAGATTGTGGGTAAAATGCAGTATCTGGATCAGAGTGCATGTTCCTTCTGGTATCGTTTCTTAAGGCTTTTCTTGGATAGGAAAGGGAAATACCCAGAACCCTTGGGCTTCCTGGGTGCGAGGCAACACCCTGCACTGCTTCAGCTCACCTTCATGGGCTGTACCCACTGTCCAACCAGTCCCAGTAAGATAAATTGGGTACCTCAGTTGAAAATGCAAGAATCACTCACCATCTGTGTTGATCTCTCTGGAAGCTGCAGACCAGAGCTGTTCCTATTTAGCCATCTTGCTGGCTCTCCCGAAAGCTTTCTTTGAAAAAAAAAAAAAAATCCAATTAGAAAACTCTGATTGTATGTTGGGAAATGCTGCTCAGAAATTTAGAAATATAGCTTGATATGTATTGTAAGTAGAAAACTTTGATAGAAGACAAAATCAGAAACTGTGTGCATCCATCGGTGATACAATATATCCAAATGTGATACTACATTCTTTAGTGGCTTATCTTAGATTTGACCCCAAAGGGCTGAGCATCATGTATTTATGCCTGGGGCACTGGTGCTGGCTGTCTACCATCAGGTGCCCTGCCAAGTCCTTGAGGGCTAGGAGTTTTCCTATATTGTTCATTGTTCTTTTCAGGATGTGCTACCTAATCCATGGGGCCCAGTGCAAAATGAAAATTCAGGGGCTCTGTTAAAAACTATTAATAGTTTCAAGATAACAACAGAGCATTAAACCAAGCAAGGGCGGGGACCTTCCAAGCACGGGGCCCTAGATATCGACATAAGCCATCACCTAGGAAGTCAGCCCTGTCTATTTCCGACATCTAGAATATTGCAGGGCACAAAGTGGGGGCTCAGTTGACATTGGATAATACAGTAAATGAACTTACACTTCTGAGATCTTTCTTTTCACTATCTTTCACTACCATGGACCACCCATAAGAACCTGGAAAGTCTTGTCAAAAGAGGGGAGAAGAGAGATTTGGAGGCTTTTCTGTTCTTTTAGTGACATCCAAATGCCAAAATTAAATCCATACAGCCATGATTAGATTTACCAGTAATAAAATCAGTTGTGTTAGAGTGAATGAGCACATTTAACCATGGACCTCACTGATGCAAGAGATTATACCCAAAATGATACAATGTTTGTTTCGGGTATTTTTGAGAAAAAAACAAACAAACAAAAAACAGCTGTGTAAATTGCCTTTAAATAGCAGATTTAAGAAATCTGCCTAGAGGCCACTAATCATTGCCATTTTAAATTTGCCATCTGCAGTGGGTTGAATGGTAACTCCAGAAAAGATCTATCCACATCTTAATTCCCCTAAATCTGTCACTGTGACCTTATTGGATAAAGGGTCTTTTTAGATGTTATTAACTTAGGGATCTTGAAAAGGGGAGATCATCTTGGATTATCTGAGTGAGACCTAAATCCAGTAACAAGCGTCCTCATGAGAGACTCACACAAGAGACACATACAGAAGAGGTGGTAGCAATGTGACCACAGACACAGAGATTGGAGTGATGTGGCCACCAGCCAGGAATGCCAAGACATTCACCAGAACCCTGGAAGAGGCAAGGACTGTATCTTTTCCTAGAGATGCCTTGTGTCCCAGCTGTGTTTTGAACTTCCAGCTCTCAGAACCATGAGAGAATTAATTTCTGTTGTTTTAAGTCACCAAGTTTATGATCATTTGTTACCGCAGCCTTAGGAAACTAATACAGCATCTGTAATTAAGACTCAGTAGAAGAAATGTTAAATCGCTCACAAGTGCTTGTTAATAAGCATAGCCATAAGTGAAGACATCATAGGTGGCAGAATAGTAAGCATTAGTGTCAGGCACCCTGAAAAAGTAGGCTATTTTTCTTTTTAAGTAAGAGGAAGTGCTTCACTTCTCACTGTGAAACATTGGGATGTGTTCAATGCCATGTCCAGAAGAATAGTAAAGTGTAATTTTAGTGATGCCCATAATCAGGCCATGGAATGTGAGAAGCACCAAAACATATTCAGCATTTTGCCTTTGACAGTATCAGCAATTCTTTTCCTCCCAAGACATATTGAGAACACATATAATTAGGTCATTTGAGAAATTAAGGAGGGCAAACAGCACTGACAACACAAATGTAGCTCTTACTGCCCAAATCCATAAATAATCTAAAGCATAGCCCCTCCAGATGTTATCCCGCTGGACTACTCTTAGAAAAAAGCAGTTAAAGGGACGCTTTCCATCATCAGATTAAAATTTATATTTCTGGTTCATGCTAAAGCATCAGTAGTTTAGAAACAGATGTTTGTTGGATTTTAATTTTCATATGCTTAGCCCCAAGAATAAGCACACTTAAAATGGCCTTCTCTACTTTTTTTAATGTAAAAAGAATACCACGAATAAAGTGAAAGATGATTTACATTACATCATCATAAATATGGGTTTATCTGGCCACCAGTAAGCCAGAATTACTAATGCTCACATAAAAATGAATTATGTATTATGAATAACTTCCTAATATTTTGTTTCCTTTGAACACTGAATTACAGATGGAAAGGTAGTCTGTTTTACATTCAGTTTTCTATTATGAAGTTATTTCAACAAATTTATTGGTCATCTTTGGTGCGTTAAAAAATCCTTTCATGAGCAATTGCCTGCAGCTCATCTGTGATCATCCCATGAAAATTAGTAAACTTCTTTAAAAGATAATTTGATTGCAAAAATGTTAGAAAATGATAATCCAGCTCTTGCAGCTTTGAAAATGGTTGTTTTCCTGTCTCTCAGACCTTATCATTGTTTAGCTAGAGTTCTTAAATTCTTAAGAACGAGAGAACTCACCTTAATTTAAAAAAAAAAAAAAAAAGCTTTTCCCAAGGGAAATATACCACCAGCTGGGAGTTTTCTTCTCTGCTGTTGGCATCCATTTTATGCCAACGAAAAGTGGATTCTAGACTAGAGTGGTAGAAACTTTCAGATTTTGTCTCTCTCTTACTTTTCATAATATTCAAATTTTTCTTATACTTTCTAGTTTCCTTGAAGACATGGAAAACATTGGTGGTTGGTGGATGGTGCAGCAGATCCCAACTGTCTAAGCAGATTATGAAATGAATTAGTATCCCTCTGGCTTGGGAACCACATATTTTCCAGCTATATTTAGGTCCCTATACAGTTAGCTTCTCAAACAATGGCTGTTTTGAAGACTTTCCAGGATCTACCAAAAACTAACTGAAGTACCTCAGCTAAACTGAATCTTTCATTGCACAGCATGTACTACTTTGAATTCAAATTGGGCCCCAGAATGCTCTGAAACAGTATATTGGAGCTGAGCTGCTACTGATTTATGCTGATATTAAGAGTTAAGATGACACATAATTTGACAATTTGTCTCCCATCTTGCCTTTGGTTACTCTTGATTCGTGTGCAATGCAGAATTCTCCACCCAGAACTTCCCTGCTTCCTAGAAGAGGCAATGGAGGATGGACAGTGGGAGTCACCTTCCCTCTTATCCCCATGTTGGCAGGACAATGACTTATGAATACAGCCAAGAAAGGAGACAGCTGGGCTGTGCTAGCTGTCTGATTTTACACCCACAAGGAATCCATAACCCCTTCAACAAAGTGCAGTCAGTGTGCCTACCCTCCACATATATCCTTCACTCTTTCTGCATGGGATTTCTTTACATCTTTGACATCCAGGTCTCTCTTTGGGATCATTTTCAAATGGATTTTATTTATACAAAAATCCATGCATGTAGGGAGAGGAGGATTTCAGAGGCACAGCATCCCTTGGATTTGCAGCTGGCCAAGATGCCCCTCACCCCCTCTCATACACAGCATCTGGACAGCTATAGATGGCCGCACCTCTTATTTTTCACATTTCAGCACTTTTTCAGTTTAACTGAATCTGAGTAAAAGACAGTTTTTCACAGAATCTTAAATATAAAATATGCAGAAGCTTAAGGGTTCTGTATAGCCATAGTTCCTTGAAAATCGACTATCTCAGTTTACCCAGAGAGAGATAATCATCAGCATGTTTCTCTTTGGTCAAACTGTTAATATGTGTCCCAACCACAACCACTGACCTTCAGTCTTCAACTTGAGGACACCAGCTGCCAGCAGTGGAGTCTGAGATCTGCATTTTTAGGGGCTGCTGAAGGCTTTGGAATTCAAGGTTTCATTTGTGAACCAGCTGCTTCATACTCACCTAGCTTTGAGAAACAGAATTACCTTCAAGGCAAAGTAAGGAAACATGTTTGAATTATAATCACTCATTTTGACCTCTAAAATCTTAAAGGAACACTGTAGGAAGAGAAGCAACTAAAGGTTCATCCAATACCTTGGACCATAAATGAGCTGGTACTGTTAATGCAAAATAAGAATTGTGACAACCATCTATGAATGGGAGCCATAGTGAACGGGGTAAGGCTGATAACCTCTCATGGAGATGTAGAGAAGGACCAAACCCTTGTGGGCTTTTGATCACCTGAGCCAAAAGAAAAGAAAAAAACGAAGATACAAGAAAACGAAAACGGCCCAAAGCCAGATATTTCTTTAGGCTTTATCTGCACAAACTAATTCTTTGAAAGATAAAAGAAACAACCTCCATGCAGGGTCACAGGTGGCATTTAGTACAGTGAGATCACCAAATGTCCCCTGATAAAGCCCTCTCTGGGCTTTAGGAACAGGCTCAAATGGCCACATGGATCCCCTCTGATTGGCTCTGAAAATTGGCGCTGAGAGTTCTCTGAGGGCCACAGCCTGCAGAGGAAGATAGCTGGCTCACAAGGCCATGCCACTCAGTTGGCATGCTGAGATAATGGGCTAAAAAAATCATCTTCCTTCCATGACTCACCCCAGGTGGGCGCACCACAATGTGTGAGGGCAGAGAGGTTTAAAACTTTTAAATGGAGGTACTGGCAGTTTTATGGTCACTATGGTTACTAACATTCTCTCCTACACCAGTCAGATAATGGTAATGGTGAAGGTTTTTTGTTTTGTTTTCTGTCTTTTTTTGTTTTTTTGAGACAGGGTCCTGTTCTGTGTTCCAGGCTGGAGTGCAGTGGTGTGATCTCAGCTCACTGCAACCTCCATTTCCCGAATTCAAGCAATTCTCTTGCCTCAACCTCCTGAGTAGCAGGGATTACAGGCATGTGTCACCAAAGCCCGGCTAAGTTTTGTATTTTTAGTAGAGACAAAGTTTTGCCATGTTGGCCAGGCTGATCTCCAACTCCTGACCTCAAGTGATCCACCCACCTCAGCCTCCCAAAGTGCTGGGATTACAGGCATGAGCCACTTTGCCTATTCTAGTTTTCTATCTTATTTAGACACTTCTGGTTGGTTAAGAGGCTGGAACTGGAATAGATTGTCAAGAGACCCACATTTTTCAGAAGCTGAGCAGGTGACACCACTAGATGGTGTATTTTCAGCAGCAGAATTCCTCATATGGATGTTAATGTGTCCCAGAAGCACTTCAGTGGTTGTCATCATGTGAATGAGCACATATGAGCATTTTTAACACAATATTTTAGGCGCTGGCTTCCTGAAGACACATTTCCAGAAGGCTGAGGCCAAGAAATGTCATTTTGTGTTTTTCTTTTGAGAGCAGATTATTAATCCTTCTTTGATGACTGACTGATTCCAAAAATGACTGTGACTGATATGTGCTTAGGATATTTGTTCTCTAGACATCTAAAGAGTATTTACTCTCTAAAGGTAAACCAATGGTGCCAAGCAAAGCCATTCCGAGATCACCCAAACAACCACTCCACAATTTTTCCTCATTTTCACGATTAGCTGAGATCTCTTCCTTCACTTAGATTTGTATAAATAATATATTGAAAATTTCCTAAAACATAGCCATAGAGAATTTGACCTATCAGATATTTATGAAATTTAAATTAAAATGTGGCAAATAATTTATTCCCACTATACCCTCCACCCGCACCCTGCCCCAGGACCCTACTATATAACTTTAGAATTACTGCTCATCCCATGGAGAATTTTTCTAACATTTTAAATATTCCGATTTTCATGCTTTCACAACTTAACAGCATTGTCTGGCCCCCTAAAGTGAAAAATGCTTCTCTCAGTGAAGGCAATTGAAAGAGACACTGCTGTAATTGATATGTCAATTTAAGTAGTCCAGCCTAATATTTTCACAAGCAATTGAATATAACAAGTAATGAAGACCTTTAAGAAGCTCATTATGCTTATCATTTTGAATTGCTACAAAGCTATGTAATTTTTAGCCATGTCCAATCCCTATCTTCAGGAAACATAACAGAAATTTTATGCATATGTATTTTTACTAATGGCTAACTCAGAAAAGGAAGAGTTCCTACCTGTGTTCATATCTTAGGGATAATCCTATCAACTGCTTGTCATTTTCTAGACAGTGTTTTTGTTTTTTGCTTTGGGGTTTAATTGACTGTTTTCACAATTTTCTAAATCCAGAATTACATACTATAATATGTAATTGCCCAAACCCATGTAATGTATTATAGAATGCTTTTAATAACTTAAAAAATAGCACATCACTTGAAAGTTCGTTAGGACTTACACTGTTTTGTTAGCCTTGTCTCAAAGTAACCACTTGCTTATTGGACCAAGAAAATACAACTAACACTTAGCTAAAAGAAAACAAATGTTAACTCAAATGTATTATCCCTTATGTTCAGTTGTTGAAGGAGATCTATCTGTGCACATGAACACTTTAACCAGTGAATATTATTTAAACACAAAACTAAATCGGGATATGCCAAATTTCTAATGTGCCTTTTATTTCCCTGAAATCAGATCCCCCAAAGAACTGTTGCAAATCCCTGGTTGAACTATTAATCCCCAAATCATGATAACCCTCATAGAATTTCCAGGTCTAGATATCCTCCTCACCATGTTTACTGATGAGTCTATTACTTATTGTTTAGGGACTTTCCTTAACACCTCATGGTGTGTGTATTAAATTTTATTCCATATAGTTTAAGGTAGAGTCTAACCAGAACACACACCCAGCAGCTTCAGAGAATATGATATTCACTCAGCAAGAAAACTGCCTCCCATTAAGCAGCCTCCTGGATAACGTTTAATGAAAATGGTTTTTCACTGCTGACATGTCTAAGTCTGTTCTCAAGGACTCCTGCAATTTTTCTAAGCTCTACACTTTAGTATAGAGCTACTCTGACACCAAGTGGGACCTTGCTTTTGGTGGTCATTAACAAAAGACGTGCTTTAGCAGTGTCTGAATTTTATGTCATTGGAAACATACTTTGCACTGGCCTCAAGTGAGCCTATAATCCCATGTTAAAAATCTATGTTATAGCCGGGCGCGGTGGCTCAAGCCTGTAATCCCAGCACTTTGGGAGGCCGAGGCAGGTGGATCACGAGGTCAAGAGATCGAGACCATCCTGGTCAACATGGTGAAACCCCGTCTCTACTAAAAATACAAAAAATTAGCTGGGCATGGTGGCGCGTGCCTGTAGTCCCAGCTACTCAGGAGGCTGAGGCAGGAGAATTGCCTGAACCCAGGAGGCGGAGGTTGCGGTGAGCCGAGATCGCACCATTGCACTCCAGCCTGGGTAACAAGAGCGAAACTCCGTCTCAAAAAAAAAAAAAAAAAAAAAAAAAAAAATCTACGTTATAAAAAGTAATTCACTAATAGTGTTTAAAAGGGCCCCCAAAAATCACATCTGTGAAAAAGCTATCTACAGAAGAACTTCTTTACTTGGGAATACTCAGAACTGAAGCTTAACAAAATTAATCACCATGTAGGTTTAAATTTCTCACATATTTTCATCTGGATTTTAAAGTCAGTGAAACCATTTCACAGGGAAATGACATACTGCCACCTGTTCCAGCATTGTTATTTTACTGTTTGCTGTATCTTTGAACTGTCTTCCAGTAGAAGCAGTTCAAGACAATTAAACAGATGATGCAAACCAGTATTTCACTAAGAGAGTAGACTCCTGTTTTGAATGTAGCAAGAATCATATCAATTTACAGTATACTATGATTTCAGGTGAATTATGAATATTCCACTTTGTGCAGTTAATGCTCTAGAATAATTAAATGCAATTATCTTTCCATGCTTTTTTTTTTTCCTGAAAAGTGGAATTAATTTTCATGTGAACAAAAGGAAGTACTGGCTTCCGTTTGACATTCCAAGTGACAGTGCAACTCAGCTTGCTCCTCTATAAATTCCTGTGAGAGATCATTTTCTTCCTTTTTTCCCATTGCCCTAAACTTTGCCTTTTAGATGTATCAATATCATGCCTCTTTAATCAGGTCCTGATTAGATGGAGATCTTCAGAAACATACATTGATCCAAGGAGCTGATTAAAATGTATGCTGAATTGTTTGAAAGAAAGAGAATAGATGAAAATGCTTAGAAGTGACTTCCTATTAATTTCACCAGTACAAATGTTAATCTCTAGAAAGTTTGAGCTAAAAAATTAAATTACTATGCCTAAAAAAGTAAAAATATATTGAAAAATAATAAAATTACTAGTCTTTGATTAGAATGGGAGCAGCTTTTATATTCTATTCCTGGATATCTGATGAACGTATTGATTTATGTCTAATAACTAGCCTTCCTACATTTAAACAGTGATGTAGAAAAGGTAATTAGGTTTAAGGAAGTACTAGCAGCTTTCATGAAGTCTTGAATTGCCTGCTCTAGGATACAGAGGCATCATTGCTTTTCTGTTTCTTTGCATCCTATTTGACAGATAGTTGCCGCAATAATGGCAATTACCGGCATCGTCATGATGGCGTATGCAGATAATTTCCACGCCGATTCCATCATAGGAGTGGCATTTGCTGTGGGTTCAGCCTCTACGTCTGCATTATATAAGGTATGTGGTGTACTTTCTTTTGTAAGCAACTGTCACTCATGACTTAAGTACTAAAGTAAGAAAGTACGATGAAAACATTGATTAGAAAGAAAATAGATGTGCTGAAATAATAGTAAGTAAATTGAGTACTTGTTGTGTGATGGGTATCTGCCTGAAAATTTGGCCTGTGTTAATAAAACCTTACAAGGCATAAATACTTATTTCTACTTTCCAGATGAGGAAACTGAGGCTTTAAAAGATTAAATAACTTGCCCCAAATTATACAGCCAAGAAGTGATAGAGCCCAGAATTAAACTCTGGCGTAGACAACTTCTAAGCCCATGTGCTATGCCCTAATCCCTCATTTATCAGGCAGTTATAGCAGGAACATTAGAAAGGCATCTTCTCTCCCTATGTTTCTTTAATTTAATTATCTATGGTCATTATTTTAACTCAAAAGGGGTGTTAGAAATAATAAACAAGCTATCACTAGAGAGCCTTTTGCCATATATTAACCCCATGCCACAGGAGCTCATGTTCCCAGCTAAATGAAGAACCTATTTTTCTCTCTAATGGATACTCTAAGTCTGCTTTATGTAGCCACCAATTTTTCTCTTCTGGAGTTCCCTGTCATCAGAGAAATTTCTATTCAGAGTCACTGCACCTGACTTCAGGAATGAGAACTAAGAGAGAAGATCTAAAAGGTTATTCCCCAAAGCTCTACTTTTAAAAGTCAACTTTCTGTATGTATTAAAGAACGGTTCCAATTTCACCTTTCTTGGTGTTTCAATGAGAAAACACTCTCTGAAAGGCAGAAAATACCCTTTTCATCCCTCCTGGAAGCCTGTTCTGATTATTAACCAACACCGTAACTCAGAGGGCATGAAGTCTATTTCCATATTGACATTTCTTGGCCCACTGATTCTGTGTGACAAGCTTGACAAGTGTTCACTCAATGGCCGTTAGTGTCTAACTTGCTCCCCAACTGAGATCCACCAAGATGTCTGATGTGACCAAAGAGTAGCACATGCTCAAATTCTTTTAAGTCTTTCAACAGAAAAAATAATTAGATTAGTTGAAATTAGAAGCAGTACCTGGGATTGCTATATGACTAGAATGGCTGCCTTACAGAGGGATTTCCCTTGACCAGGTTACAGAATGTATTCATTCTGAGAGTGGTAATATTTGCTGACATGGACCAAGTCGTATATGCACCATAATATAATTCCAGGCAGAAGAGATCTGCTTCACTCTACGTTATTTCTTACAGGATTAGTATTGGGAGTGGGGGCTTAAGGAGCTAAGAAATATGGACTGTACACCTGGCTTTCTCCCTAACCTGTTGTGTGATTTTATGTTAGCCATTTGCTTCTCCTTGCCATCTTCCTCTGCACACAGGTTTATACTATATAAAAACTGTTTTTTTTTTAATATGGGGAACAAGCACCGTATTTATGAAGTTGTTTTAAGCTCACAAAGAAAATTGCTTATAAAACCAAGGCATAAATATTATTTCTCTCAACAACAAAATGACAGGGTCTCTCTGTCCAATTTAGTTTTCAGTATCTTTTGAAATAAGGTTAAAACAAATACCATGCTTTAAGGTAAGGATTAATGGCATTTCAATCCTAGATTTTTCTGGGCTTATCTGGACCCTTATTTAGCATTCACCCAATACCCATCACTGATGGTGGCACTTGACACAATGTACAGTACCCAGCAGTTTCCAGCACCATAAGAAATTCAGTTTATGGCATCTACTATTTCATATGAAGGCTATAGGGTATTTTATTTCCTTCTCCCAATAGCCCATCTAGTGCCATGAAGATGTCAGAGCAAAAAGAAATGGAGAATAAACTCTGGGCCAGTTAGCTCACAGTATAGAACGGGAAGACTTACCTTTCTGCTCTGGCTAAGTCTCTGTGTGACTGTAGAGCTTCTTTCTCATTTCAGGTCCTGTTTAAGATGTTTCTCGGAAGTGCCAACTTTGGGGAAGCTGCACACTTTGTCTCCACCTTGGGTTTCTTCAATTTGATCTTCATCTCCTTCACCCCAGTCATCCTGTATTTCACCAAGGTGGAGCACTGGTCCTCTTTTGCAGCTCTGCCATGGGGCTGTCTCTGTGGGATGGCAGGGCTGTGGCTAGGTAAGTGGCCTCGGGTTTTGCTTTCCATTCCCTATATCACTCAATCTTTCTTTGGATAGATCATCATCATAGAATTATTTTCTTGGGTAACTCTGTGCTCTATTTCCCAAACTTATGTTGATCAATGCCATTGGTCATGTTTAGAAGGTTCTTTGCAAGCTACTGGTTGATCACGTTCAAGCTATCCAACTAGTGTGCCTCCTGTGAGTTAAGGTGTGCACTGGAGGCCCAGGCCTCTCTGTTTACCGTTGGCCTTCAATCCATTCTTCAGTCTCATTCATTCTTTCTAATGCAATGTATCACGTTATGATGTTCCGTATGTGCCATGGTGTGCTGGGCAGAGGCTAGAGAGTAGAGGGTGAATTCAAAGAACCAGAGTGGTCCAAACTGGTGAGAGCACTGGGTTCAGGAGGAAGGAAGGAAGGGAAGGAGGGAGGGAGGGAGGCAGAAAGGGAGGGAGGGAAGGAGGGGCTATTTAAGAGGTAATCAGGTTGGGAAGAGCCTGGAAAGCCAATTTGAGGTGTTTGGATTTAAAATCTACTTAATAATCTTTAAGCAGGGAGGTGACGGGCTCACATCTGCATATGAAACAGCTCACTCTGGCTGAGAATGGAGGATGGATTTGTGATAGGAAGCCATTGCCAGGAGAGAGATGGCAGCATGCACTCGGCTTGGTGTTCCTGGCCGGGTAGATGGTGCCTAGTTAATGGCCAAGAAAAAAATCACCTGGAGTCCTTATAATGTCTTCACTGCCAGCTTCCTATAGCTCTGAGGCTGGCGGCTTCACCTGAGCTCCAGGATCTGACTTTTAAAGCTGTGCTGCTGTTGTCACTTGATGTGAGAGGAGCCTAATAAATAAGGCTGCTATTCTCTCACCAAGCAGTCAAAAAGCAGCGACAAACCAAAGACTTGGTGTCTGTTTACTCAGAATCAAATCCTTTTCATGCTGCTCCCATCTCCACATGCTACTCAGAAGTCAACTCCCTCTGCCCACTCCACATGTTCCCACAACCCCAGCCTGCAGGACATCCATCAACCCTCAACTGACCTTCTTTCTTGAGGTGATGTAATTCGAAATCGTAGCAGCACTGCAATTCCTGGGAGCAAAATGTCCTTCTTTTCATCCCTGCAAGGGTATTGATTGGGTCGTCTTTTTCTGTGCTGTCTTAGCCCCTCAGACTCAGGGGAGGCCTTAGACAGGAAACACTCAAGAAAAGGATCAAACATTAATTGCTGATCCCTTGAGTTCCACTTTTCAATGCCAAAATTATACGGTTAGCACCTCTCATAACCTCTGCTGAGTAGAAATCAACAGTGCTATTTCCATAAGACCAAAGCATCCTCATTAAAAGCACCTTGATTATTTTCTGGCCAAAACAACCTAACTGGGAACAATCATAATGAAAATTTCAATGGCCCTTAGCCCCCTAATTGTTAATCCCACAATTTCCACCTGGCTGCAAAGTAACCCTCCACCAACATATGCTCCTTGGTATATCCAGTACATGTTCCTAGGCAAGCCTGCAGAGGCTGGAGGCCACCTCTGCTAGCTGAACACTGGCATTCTCCACCAAGCAGTGCGAGCTCCACACTCCACTGGCTGCAGTGCCAGTCAGCACTGCCACTGCTCCACCAGGTCCACCCCAGCGCACTGCAGAGCTCACTGTGCCCAGGCTGTGCTGTGGCAATCGAGGAGATAGTCTCTTCTGGCTGTTACACACCCCAGGGTCTTGCAGTCTTCAGTGCTGCTATTCCTAAGTGTTTATTTCCATCTCTCTCTTCTCCATAGAGATCAGACATGATCTAGCTGAGGCTGAGCTGAGAAACAGATCTGAGAGATACACAATCTGCATCCTGAGCTGCCTCACATCTTCTCTAGCTGTGGTTTCTTGTTTGCTTATGTTTACTTGGGGGTCACTCCTCTCAAGAAATGTGTTAGCTAGGAAATGTGTTAGCCCAAATGCAAGTTAGCCTCATCCATTCACCTAGCATGTCTGAATTGCACTTAAACTCAGGCTAGGCCCCATAATATGGGGTTCAGCAGAGCCTGTGCTGTATTTAATCAATTCCTGATGTGTAAGAATTCGCCATGTTGGACTCCCTGTGTCTGAGGAGAGAGTCAAAGTGCTGGAATATTCACTCGTGCTGCAGCTTTGTCAGGAACGAGGAGCAGTTATTAGCTTAGGGATACCCTCTGCCTTGCTTGCTTCTATTATTATATGAATAACATAAAGGAGCCCACGTCCTGTAAAACTCAAACTCACTGTTTCTAACCACCAAGCACAAGTGACTCATTGGGTTTAAAGCAGGAATTATAGATGACAATAGAAAAACATAAATCATCCTAATTAGAATGGCTCTAGAATTTCTTTTGGTTCTACAGAGACAGAGGCAACATGCTTGCCTCATTGCTGTGGAGATCCCTGAACTGAGGACCTTTTACACTTGTCAGCACTCATCTCTCTATCCCCTAAAACAAACATTTGATTGGACTCTATTAGAATAATGCTTTGTAAATTGTAACTTTTTGAAATAATTTTCTTTTTGAAAACATGTGTTTTTGATAAGTTTTAAAGTGGATAAATGAATATTTTAACTAATTTTATATTTAACCAGTGAGGTCCAGAAGTATTCATTGAAGAGTATCAAGCTACACTACCCCTTCAGTTCGTTCTGTGGATCTGCCTCTGGTTATCTGTACACAAATCAGAATGTGGAGACAGTCTCTGGAATTCAGTGAATTACACTGAACCCACCCTTTTTTGCCCTATGATGCTGACCTCTGGAGAGAGGGGATAAAACAGCATAGACTATCATTGGATAGACCTTCCTTTAGGCAATAACACAAGAGCCATTTGATGTCCAGAAATGTGGCATAAAATAGCACAGCAATAAAGAGATGAGGCACCAAACTTCAATCAACCACCTGCTTTTAATGTCTGGCTGGTCCCAACCTACTTTTATAGTGCTAATAAGCAGTGTTGTCAATCAATTATTTTACCTCTTTGTATTTGCTCCAAACACCTTTTGCCAGCCTATTGGCAAGAGCTCAGGTAAACAGAGTGGCAGAGGAGAAGAAAAGAAAATGATTACATAATTCAGGCAGGGTACACATGCATCCGTCTCCAAAATTAGAGGACCAAAGGTATAGACAGTTTAAAAGACACATTTAACAGAGACATTGATTTATGTACTGTAAGAAAAAAGTCCAGTATATTATTTCTCCTTTATCCTGTATTTCCTCCTCTGTTTTACAGCCTTCAACATCCTGGTGAATGTTGGGGTAGTACTGACATACCCAATCCTAATCTCCATTGGGACAGTGCTCAGCGTTCCTGGAAATGCAGGTACAGGTACCATTTGACACGTGCAGATTCTGACCACTACAACAAGTCTCTTGGTTGTGTTTGTTCTGTGTCCTGAGCTGTTCCTTCTGGCAGTTGTGAATTATGTCCCTTGCCTGGCGAGATGTTTTTAAGTATCATGAAGGTGGCCGACAACAGAATAACGATGCAGCAGATTTAAAATTTGCAGCTACAGAAACACTGTCTTTACTTGATTGTGCTTTTAGAATTAAATACCAGATGTATTATTTGGGTTTCATGTAATCTCCCTGACAACCTAATTTTGTGGTATTTTTAGAGGAAGTCCTATGGAAACAAAAGGCATCCCAGCATAGGACCTTCAAGTAACCGTCATTAATGAAAGTGTAGAGAATGTACATGGGGTTGGCTTATCCTCAGACTATCCACAGGGAGCTGCAAAGGCTCTCCTGGGGCACAGCAGGTGAGCCTCTGGAATAAATATAAGGAAAAAGCAATTTTACTCACCTCAGAGACAAGAGAAGCTATTTTTCCAGGATATTTCTAGAGAAACCTGCCAGTGGATGGTTTATCTGGATGATTGTACAGTCCTTTAACTTTAAAATTGTATAATTTCAAGTCTTGTTTGGCCACTTTTCTGTCCTCCATGACAATCAGCAAATGTTTATTGAACATTTATCATATGATCAGGGCTGCAAAAAACAATAGAAAAAAAATTACATGATTATTCTCTTAATATGCTTATGACTGAATTTGTAATAGAAGGCCAACCTACATGAAATAACTTGGAGCTCTACAAAATTATTGGTTATTAAATGCCAAATTGTGTGAGATAGACTCCAGTGACTATAAGATATTCAGAGGAAATGAATCACAGAGTGGAGTTGTCAAGGAAGTTCATTCATTCATCTCACAAATAATTTCCAAGCAATTAGTGTACACCAGGAACCGTGTTAACACTAGCGACAGGTCCTGAATAAGGTATATCCCTGCCCTCAGGACCAGGCAGCATTGAGAGGGAGACAAAAAAAATGAGTAATTACAACACAGAGAGAGAATTGCTTTGATAGAGGTATGTGCTGAATGCTGTGAGGGTGCATCAGAGGAGCATCCAAAAGGCTTCCTGCGAGAAGCCTAAGGAGAGAGATCTAAGGAGAGGTTTAGCTGGATGAAGTGAGATATGAGGAGTGAAGGGTAGCTCATGCAAAAGGAACAGCACATGTGTGACCAACTCCACTCCTGAGTGTATACCCCCAAAAAGTGAAAACAGAGATTCAAAAAATCCTCATGTACAAATGTTCATAGTAGCCCTATTCACAATAGCAAAAGGGTAGAGGAGCCTGACTGTCTACCGGCAGATAAATTAATAACCAAATTATGATACAATGAAATATTATTCAGGCCATAAGAAGGAATGAGATACTGACACATGCTACAACATGGATGGACCTCAAAAACATTATGCTAAGTGAAAGACGCAAGTCACAAAAGGTCACAGAGACTGTAGCTCCATTTATATAAAATATCTAGAATAGGCAGATCCATATGGGGAATAAAGCAGATTGGTGGTTGCTAAGAGCTGAGCAGTAACTTCTTAATGGGTATGGGGTTTTGTTTTTTTGAAGTGATGGAGACATTTGGGGACCAGAGAGAGGTGGTGGATGTGTAATATTCTGAATATACTAAGTGCCGCTAAGTCCACTTTAAAATGGTTAATTTTATACTACATGAATTTCACCTCCATTAAATTTTTAAAAAGAACAGCCTACACAAGTCTTAGATACAAGTTGGGGTCATTTGAAAAATCTTCAATGGTCCAATGAAGCTGGAGAAGGGTAAAGGAGTGCAGAGGAGAAGTACTGAGAGAAAACTGGGGAGGTAGGTAAGTCAGATTACATGGAATCTGAGCCAAACCTTGAAGGATAAACATGATTTAGAGACAGGGAATGGAAAGTAAACCCCGCAATATGGAAAAAGGAAACGCTAACTTGGAAAAATAAAGACGACTCTTGGAAATCTCTGGAAGTAACACAGACTTTGGTGACTTGTTTTCAAAGCTTAGAACCAGGCATAGGCTGTGACTGACTTGATTTTTCTTTCCTAGCTGTGGATCTCCTAAAACAGGAGGTGATATTCAATGTTGTCCGCCTGGCTGCCACCATCATCATCTGCATTGGGTTTCTGCTGATGCTGTTGCCTGAAGAATGGGATGAAATCACCCTGAAGTTCATCAACAGCCTGAAGGAAAAGAAGAGTGAGGAGCATGTGGATGATGTGACTGATCCCAGCGTACACCTGCGAGGCAGAAGCAGAGCCAATGGGACAGTGTCTATACCACTGGCTTAGAGAAGGACACATTTTGAATGCACGTGGATGTATATTCTGTGAATATAACAAAATTTTCTCACTACCTGTACACTCCAACGACAGTATTAACTCTAAATTTGGATAAATCATATGTGAAATAATGCCAACAATAAAAGTTTACATTTATATGCTTGTCAAGGAATGGTGTAAATAATCGTAATAGATTTTCTATTAAAACACTTTGTCCTTGTTCTGTTTTCTGATTTTTTTAATTTCCCCTCCCCCAACTCACAAAATTTCCTGAAACCGTAAGAGTCTATTAAATTATGGACTTACCTTTTCTCACCTGAAAGTGAGTCCTTCTCAATCAAAAAAAGTTGTGTAAGGGAATAGCACATGAAAATAATACACATTTGATATTTAAGCCCAGCAAGAGCCTGAAAATTTAAAAGCTGGAAATGTATTAAACATTTAAACAGAGCACTTTCTATATGTAAAACCCCCACTAGAAACAATGAGGAGAAAAAAATACAGAATACCCATCTGTACTTTTAATGAGCTTAGAGTAGCTTAGAAGGTAAGACGGTTCACAAATATCTTTACTATGAGGCAGACATTTGAAAATGGCACAGTGGATATAGACGGGAATGAGCTATCCTGAAAGAGTCATTTATATTTGTTGTCCCTCCTTCAACTCCCATTCACTTTTCAACCCACTGCAATGTACCTTCGGCCCTCATCAATTCTCTGGAAGTGCTTTCCCCAAGGATCGACCTTTCTCTTTTAACACAATGACCACTCCTTTTTCCTAAGTACTCTCTCTTTACTTGAATCCCATTACTTTCTTTTGGTTCTATTTCTACCTCCCTGTTTGCTTCCCTCGGCTTTTCTTCCTAGGCTGATCTTATCACCATCAATGTTCTATGAATTTAGACCTCCACCTTCTTAGCATCTCATTCCGCAGTCTCTCCTTTGGGGAGTTCCTTTACTACCATGACTTAAACTGTCATCCATATGGTGGTGACATCAAAATCTTAACCTCCAGCCTAGATTTGTCCTTTGAGCTTTAGCTCTATTTAAGTGTCTTCTGCAGCTTACTTGGATGCCTCCTTGTATACCTTAACTATAGCAAAAGAAAAGTTGAATTTATTATCACTTGTCCTCAGACCTGTTCCTTTCCTCTGCCGTTGTCCCTGTCTATGTTAACGGTGTCATCATTCACTAGCTGTCCAAGCCAGAGATCAACCTCACCACTGCCTTCTCATCCTCCACATCTGTTTATTGTTCTATATTGTTTAATATGTTTTTTTGATTCTATTTCATTTTTTATTATTTTTATTTTTTTATAAAATATTTATTTAAAAATTTTTCTATTTTTTAAAATTTCTTGAGTCCATACACTTCTATTTTACCCATCCAAGGCCCCCATCTTCTCTCGTTCTGCTTAATCCAATACTTTTTACACTGATACTTCTAATTCCTAGCCTTGCCTCTTTTGTGACCTATAGAGTGGCTTTTTTTTTCCCCATTTATTTATTTTATTGCATTTTAGGTTTTGGGGTACATGTGAAGAACATGCAAAATTGTTGCATAGGTACACACATGGCAGTGTGATTTGCTGCCTTCCTCCCCATCACCTACATCTGGCAATTCTCCCCTTGCTATCTCTCCCCAGCTCCCCACCCCCCACCGTCCCTCCCCTATTTCCCCCCAACTGACCACAGATTTAATCATTCTACTCCCCTATATTGAATGCTTCAGTGGCATCTTATCCTCAGGATAAGGTCCAAACACCTTGGTGTGTCATTCAAAGCTCCTCACTGACTGACCCCTGCCAGCCTCTAGAGCAGCAATGTCCAGCAGAACTTTGTGATTATGGAAATATTTCATATCTGTGTGGTCCAATGTAGCAGTCACAAGTGGCTATGGAGCACTTTCAATGTGACTAGTACAACTGAGAAACTGCATTTCTACTTGTATTTAATTTTCACTCACTTATAATTAAATAGCCAAATGTATAGCCAGTCACAGTGGCTCATACCTGTAATTCCAGTGTTTTGGGAAGCCATGGCAGGAGGATCACTTGGGGCTAGGAGTTCGAGACTGCAGTAAGCTATGATTGTGGCACTGGATTCCAGCCTAGGCAATAGATGAAACCCTGTCTCTAAAATAAATAAGTAGCCAATATGGGTACTATACTTCCCACAGGCTCAATCAAGCGCCATTCTGTTTCATTCTCTCTATCCCCCATCACCTGTAAAACCTTTGTCTAAGATTCATGCCTTCATGACTTATTGCTATTTTTCTGGGAAGTGTTTTCTTATCTCCCAGGCTGTACAACATGGCTTCCTTGGCAGTCTCTGCTTACCCCCACTGAGTGCTGATTGCCCTTCGTGGTGGTTGTTGATCTACTGGTCTGAGTTACCAGTAGACCATGAGGTCCTTGAAAGCAGGGGCTGTGTGGCATTTGTCACTGTGTTCCCAGTGCCGAGCACTTGTAGACATTTGGCAAATGAATGAATGGGTGACTTTACACTGGCGATATGGCCCCCCACCCAAACTGTATCAGCTCACTCTTAGTTAAAGATGGGCATTCTTATAGATGGGACTAGCTAAAGGAAGGACTGAAAGGAGCTAGATGTATCACAGCGTTTGTCATGCTTCCACAAAACACCACCATGCTGAACTGATAAACAAACTTCTTCCCTAAGAGGCTGGGTAGGGCATCCAGCAAGTTAAGATATTCTGCACTCTGTGGGGATTCTAGGGCAAGAAGTGCAGCCTTTGTGGTGTCTGCTTTGCTATTTGTTTTTATTCGAATGTCCCTAGAAGTGTTGCTGAGACAATCACAAGGTAAGAAAAGACAGCTCAGAATATCACAGAATATCGCTGGCTGGGCATCACAGTAAATAAAAACCTTAATGTATCAGGACTTTCATTTCTCTGTCATTTTTTTAAAAGGCAATGCCAGTCTCCTGACACAGATAGATAACAAGATATTCATAACAATGATACAATTTAAGCTTCACGAAAAAATGGTATAAAGTAAATGAAATGTTATTAGTAAATACCAATTAATTCATTATCAAAATAGAGTTCATTTTGACTATTGGTTTTGACTATTTAAATGCCATATTGGTGCAAACATGATGCTTGCCTTGTTTTTAAATGGCCGTTAAATAGTAGCAATCAGGACTAACCCGCTCTAGCATCTTGCCATTACTTAACATGACATTTAAAATTGCACTTTGACATCTTTAAGAAATGAGTTGTTTTGCTCTTTTTGATTATTCATTTTGAAAAATGGAGTCAGCTGCCCTGGAAAGCACTAATTCGGCCCATGACTGATCACCGTAATTAGCTCGGTCTATATTAAGAAAACACTTGCATTATGGTATTCATTCATTTATTCATTCAAAAATTATTCACTTCTTCCTCTGGCTTTGAAGTAGGGTAGTATGTTAAATGTTACCAATGGGTCCCTGCTGGCCTCTAGAGTAGCACTGTCTGGAAGAACTTTCTGTGCTCATAGACACGTTCTCTGTGCTGTGGGGAGGGATAAAAAAAGTGTATAGGAAATTGTCCCTGCTTCCAAGAGCCTGCAACCTTTGTAGGTAAGCTGTCACCCTGACAATTAAAACAACCCAAATTTATTTAAATCAGCTTTGGGTTTGTAAGATAGTCCCTTTAATTCAGGTAAAGTATCACAAATAAAGATACTAATACCTTTCCTTGTTACTGCTCATGGTCATTGTGAGACTCAGACAAAAATGTATTTCAGTCACTGGTCAAGTATGGGTCTGCCTCCTATGTGCCTATGCTGTGCCTTAGATGAGCCACATTCAGTGAGGTACAAAGAATAATTAAGGGAAGACGACAAAGACCCTGCCCGACTGGGTGGAAGCACCTTGTTACGGTTACAGTTATTCTGCCTCTTTATCTACACCTTTTCCCTTCCCAGAGACCAAGAGGCGATGGCTTCTGTAGGTTCCTGAGTGGCCAGCACAGTCCAAGGAAAAAGAGCACTATGCTTCAGCCTTGACTCTGCACTTCTTAGAGATGCAACTTTGCCAAATGACTAAGCTTTCTCTGCCCCTCTCTTTCATTAGCTGCAAAATGAGGATATTAGTATCATTTGGAATTGTTAAAAAAATAAAGTAAAATACCATGAGTGACGATCTTAATGCACAGCCAGACAGGCCAGAAGTAGTAACTGCTGTCAGAATTTCCTCTCCTGCTCACTTCCCTCAAGGTCCTCATCTAGAAATTTCACCTACAGATTTGGCCCTCAGGCCTGTCCTTTGGGTCACTGATTTCACAGCCCTGTGCCCCAGCAAAGTCACAGAGCCTAGTGCCAAGCAGGGAATTTTACCCAAAATAAACCAAACAGAAAGAAGAACCCTGGCATGAGGAAGGCTCCAAAGAACCAAAAAAGGATATGCTGTTTCCATCTGCCTGGTCCCCCCGGGCACTTTGCATTGCAGCATTCTTGCCCAGTCAGTGGAACTAATTACCTGACAAAAAGACAGACTAGCGACTTGGGCTCTGAAATTAAAATCACTTCAACCACGTCCCGATCTCTTCACAAACAGATTATAGGCAAATCAATTTTGCTCATCCAGGCTTTGCATGTCTGTTAATTTTGTGCAGCTTTGTCAAGATCCACGAGAGGACAAATGATTTGGAGAAGGAGAATGTAAGAGATAAAAGCATAAACAGTATAACCAGCCAAGCATTAGAATATTTCTGATATTTAAGTACAAATCCTCTTTCTTACTTATCCATAAACCCCTGTCACAAACACAAAGAACACCCAGTACAGGCCATGCCAGTTAATCTGGCAGGCTAGAACAACAAGTCTCTATTAACTCTGTTTTTTTTTTTCTTTTTTCTCCTTTCTTCCACATCTGTAGCAATTGTAGGTAAAGTAAGAAGAGGGAGAGTGTAGGGGTAACGGTGTGGGGGTGCTAGCACTGAGACCCCAGAGGCAGGTGAAGCCCCATGCTTCAACGCTCTCATTGGCCAGGATGCTCCACATGTGTTCCACAAAAGCAAAGGCCACTTTATGGTTGTTTGCTGGAGACAGAAGCATCGTATCCTTTTGGAGCTTGAGGGAGCTTAAGATCAAGAAATCTTTCAGAGCTCCAAAGATGGGCTTCTGTACCATGACAGAGTTTTTCAAATACTGTGAGCTTTGCTGGAGGAATCAATTCTGAGAATGCAGAGACTCAAAAACCACAGTGTCCTAC